GGAGGCAGCGCCAGGGGGGGGACGTGGGGCCATGGGTCTGCATCCCCTCCATCCCCGGCTCTTCCCTGCACGGACAGCCGAACAACAGCCGGGCCGCTGCCACCATCCACCTTCATGCCCAGACTTAACAGCTCAGAACTACAAAATCCATCTGTCCCTAGGCGAGAGAAGATGGTGCCCAGCAACCAAGGCCTCCCTCTTGGAGAGTTCAACTATCGTTGGGGTGGGATTATCATCGCTGACCCCCTGCCGAACAAACTGTAAAAACCAAGCGTGCCTGCAGTTTGTGAAGACCAATGCCAGCCCTACCTTGAAGATGAAGTCGGCCATCAGAGGACCAGCGATCTTAAAGGTTTGCCTCTCTGCGCTCTTCTGAAACTCCACAGTTGTGTTCTCGATGGTAAAGATTCCCGGGCTGCTGAAGCTGTGTTCTCCTTTGTTTCCTTGAAGTGTTTTTGATTCAATAACTGAAATTAAAGCATGAACCTTTCATGAGAGAGCTGTCCTGAGGCAGTTGTTTCAGAGGACATGTATGAAGCCGGTGTCCGCGTGGGACATCAGCACAGCACCACCACGTCCACGCCGTTTATGTATTTTTTATTTTTTGGCGGCGTCTCCCAATGCCTGGTAGTTCTTCCACTTGAGCCACACCCTGACCGTTTTGTGTTGTTCTTGGAGTCCAGGTAGGGTCCAGGCCCAGCCTCTGACTGCGATCCTCCCGCCGCTGCATCTTCCATTGCTTAGAGGCTGTCAGGCCTGGCTCCTTGATTGGATGAGGGGTCTCATGAACGTTTCCTATACTGGCCTTAAACCCTGATCCTCCTGACCTCTGCCTCCCAAGTAGCTAGCTGGATTACAAGCATGAGCCGCTGTGCTCAGCTCTATTAGCTTTATAAATATCCATAATGAAGGAACAGATATGCCCAATTTTTAGTTGCATAATAAGGCACTTAAAAAAGGGCATCAGGCCCAAAGAGATCTACTTGATTTCTTGGAGACATTTCTACTATTAAGGGCAAAGGACACTTTTTTCCTACCTTTTCCACTTCACTCACTAAAAACCTAGTGAGTGAAGCATGTCTGCTTTTGTATGGAAGGTCAGGTGTAGGTCCTGAGCTCGTGTTTAGGGACGGCCGCAGTGCGGGTCTGGGCTCTGCCCGGTGCCTGCCTGAGTCCAGCCCCGAGCACCACAAACAAGTACCAACCACAGGTCAATTCAATGTTGCCTCTTTTTTCTTTTTAAAAAATCCTTCTATTTTAAAAAGAAAAAGGAGGCAACATTGAATTGACCTGTGGTTGGTACTTGGGTAGAATTGTGGGGAATTCAAGCCCCGGAAGAGAGGACGCAGGGCTGGTGCAGGCCTCTGAGGGTTTGGTGACAGTACCACAGCCAGCCCGCCATCGATGGGAAGAGCCGTGCGCGTGGCGACAGTCAAGTGTGCACTGTGTTCCAGTCCCTCCCCCCGTGAAGCTCTCCCTCGGAAGAGCACGGCCCAGCACGCCAGCCGCGCCAGTGAGCTCTCCCTCCTCCTCTCCTTCCTCTTCTTTGGTTAAGGGTCGTCATTCTCAGTAGGGCTGGTCTGGGGTTGGGAGAGGCAGGAAGGACACAGAGTGGGGTCCCGGGGCAGCCGGCTCCCGCCCAGTTCTTCCTCTCACACGGCCGGCCTCCTTCCTAACATGGGAGTCAGCGCCCTCTCCCCCCAGCCCTGCTCCAGAAGGCCGGCGTTCAGATTCCAAGGCCTGCGTCGAGGGGCACTGCCACCTTACACAGAGGACCAACACGTTCTCGCTCAGCTCCACACTCAAACATGGACGGCAAGGAAAGCACCGCGGAACCATCCGGCAGCAGGCGCCCCGGGCCTCGCTGCTGGGCTTCAGCTGTTTCCATTCCCGTGGTTTTCTGCCAGGGAGTTGCTGCGGGGATCCCAGGCTGGGCCGGGGAGACGCTCTGATGATCACGGACAGGCAGGCAGGAGCGTCTCTGGAAAATCCAAAGGCTAGCCAGGAGCTCCCGATCTGGAGGAGTCATTAAGCGGGCGAAGCACGGTGCGAGGCCGACTTCAGGCACAAAGGCCCCTCCGCGTTGGCCCCGATCTCCTACCACAGTCCGCTTTTGGAAAGTGTGAGATTAAATTCATTTCCTTGTTCCGATGAAGACATAAAACTGAGCGTCCCAAAGTGAGCTGTCAGGAAAAACAGGATGAGGAAGCTCGGAGGGAGCGAGCCCCGCCCGGGAGGAGCATAGGTCTCTCCAGAAGGAAGAGCAGCAGCCATGCTGAAACAGCCAGGATGAGCCCATTCCACGCAGGGCAGAGCCCAAGGCTTCCAGGCTGAGACTCCGACGGAGGGTGAGACTCCATCTCAAAAATAACCCGGGCACCGGCGGCTCACACCCGTCATCCTAGCTACTCAGGAGGCTGAGGTCTGAGGATTGAGGTTCAAAGCCAGCCCAGGCAGGAAAGTCCACGAAACTCTAATCTCCAACAAACCACCAGAAAACCAGAAGTGGCGCTGTGGCTCAAGTGGTAGAGCGCTCGCCTTGAGCTGAAGAGCTGAGGGACAGCGCCCAGGCCCAGAGCTCAAGCCCCACGGCTGACAAAAAAAAAAAAGTGCAAAAAAGGGCTGGAAGCCCGGCTCCAGTGGAAGAGGGCCTGCCCTGATTTCCACCCTGGGCCTTGCTGCCGCACAGCGGACACATTTGCTTCCTTTTGGTGTGCATGCCCCCCCCCCAAATAAATGTTACAAAAGGCGTTTGTGGGTTTTTGAATCAATAATGCCAGTGCCGACGCCCACGTGTCTCCTGCAGCCTTGGGTGGTGACGACCTGGAATTCACGGCTGGCAAGCTCTTCAGTTCCCAGAGCGCACACAGGACGCTCAGGGCTCCAGCTGCAACGTGGTGAGGGCCGTGGGGCCCCGGGGGCTGCGGTCAGTCCCCAGGAGGAGCGCGGGGTGTCCTTCCCGCTGCCCAGCCCACCCCCCCTCTGCAGGGGTGCTGGGCAGGGAGGAGCGAGGCTGAGCGCGGCCCAGAGCAGCGGGCAGGGGAATCCGCGTCTTCACGACTCAAACCCGCAGCCACCCCTGGAAACATTTTAACCATACTTGGTATTTTGTAAAAGGTTACGAGTGCTTCTGAGCCAGCGTCACGTAACTCTCGGGAAGAGTCCTGCATAGGTTCTAGAAACCCCGGGAGCGGTCTGCACTGTGAACTTTGCACGCCCCAAACCCCTGTGGCCTGCAGACGGGCGGTCTCCAGGAGAACGTGGCAGCTGCACGCGCCTCCCGGGTCCATTCCCCCCCGGGGGCCGGGCGTCCCCCCACAGCCCGAGGCAGAGGAACACCAGGTAGAGACGCTGCCCTGGGAACGGGCTGCAAATCCCCCCGCAGGAACCCACCAGGAACCCAGGAAGCCCACTGCTGAGAGGCTTCAAGGCAACACGTGAGGAAGAGCGGGGGTTACGCTCTGCTTACAGAGGTGGGCTGGTCCTTTCGCCGTGATCCTCACCCGGAGGCTTCCCAGGGGCACAGCGATCACGGTCTCCTCTCCTGGGGAGGAAGGGGACAGGAGTCATGGAGGTTCAGGGAAGGCCCTCACGAGGGGGTCGCGGGGAAGGGAGCGCTGCAGAGTTTCTCGGCTCCGTCTCGTGGTGAAGAAGCCTCCGGGTGGCGCCGGCCAGCGGGGCTGACTGCGCTGCTCACGTAATCCTGCCATCTTTGTGGACACACGGGCAGCCCCGTCCGCTCCCTCCCGTGTCCTCTGACGGGCCTCCCCCCAGGTGGACCTCGGGGGACTCCACCTGGTTCTGTTTTCTTTTTTTGGGGGGGGTCCGGTCATGGGGCCTGAACTCTGGGCCTGGGCACTGTCCCTCAGCTCTTCAGCTCAAGGCTAGTGCTCTACCACTTGAGCCACAGCACCACTTCCGGCTTTTTTCTTTTTGCTTATGTGGTGCTGAGGAATCGAACCCAGGGCCTCGAGCATGCAAGGCAAGCGCTCTACCACTGAGCCATCCAGCCCCTGGTTCTGTTTTCTATGCTTGCTTTACACACTCGGACCTGGGGCCAGGAGCCAGTGCTTCCTGGGCCCACGCGGCACGGAGGACTGGCGTCCGGAGCAGCAGGCAGGGCAGCGGTTTGCAGGACTCAGGGAGGGAGGGAATCGGGGTACAGATTTTTTGGCCATTGTTTGTGTTTATGTGTTGGGATCAACGTGCTAGGCAAGCACTCTGACACTGAGACACACACCCAGTCGTCGGGGATGCAGGTCAGGGCCTCGCTGGGCACCCCGACCTGGCACCCCTTAAGATGGGGAGGCCTGGTTGTGTTTGCAATGGAGATGGAGGAGGGAGGGCAGGCAGGCCAGAGGCCGCAGACGGAGGCGCTCATCAGCCCTGGGCCTCACAGGGCGGGTGGTCCCTGCGGGTTTGTTATTGTTGGAGTTTTATTTCTTTGTAGTCCTCCACAGAGTCTGTCCTAGAAACCAGTGTCCTGGCGGGAAGGCACAGGACCCGGGCTGCATTCCCCGGGCCTCACTGGGGCTGGGCCACGCTGGACTGGCGGCCTTCACCTGGCCAAGCCAGGCTCCCCATTTCCCACCACACCCCACGCCTTCCACGGCCAGAAAGCCAGCAGACCGCGAGCATGGCTGAGGCGGCTCACGGAGCCGGAGGGTCCCGTCCAGGGTCACTCGCTCGGCGGTTCTCAACCCGGGGCCGGGGAGCTGGGTGGCAGGGAGCTGGGGTGGAGATAAATGGATGGATGGGGATTGGTAGGAAGGTAGCTAGATGGACAGATAGACAGATGAAAAATGATAGATAAGATGACGGATAGAGGGGTAAGTGATGGAGGATGGTGCTGGATTGACAGATAAGATGGTGGTGGTGGTAGACAGACAGATGACAGATAAGATGCTGCAGGTTGACAGATGACAGGTGGAAAGGCTGGTGGTTCGCAGGTTTAAATCATTTTGTTGTTGGTGCACACACAGTGTTAGTCTTTTGTCTGAAGCGCTGTTCGTTTTGGCATGGATCTTATCACTTGCACTTTCTTTCTTCTGTCAGAAAAGACACTTCCCAGTCATTGACAAATAGCTCCTGGGTCCAGAGCCAGAGGCCACACGGAGGCACACGGAGGCACACGGAGCCACATGGAGGCACACAGAGCCACACAGAGCCACACGGAGCCACACGGAGCCACACGGAGCCACATGGAGCCACACGGAGCCACACAGAGCCACATGGAGCCACGCAGAGCCACATGGAGGCACATGGAGACACACGGAGCCACATGTAGACACACGGAGCCACATGGAGGCACATGGAGCCACATGGAGGCACACGGAGCCACATGGAGCCACATGGAGGCACATGGAGCCACATGGAGGCACATGGAGCCACATGGAGGCACATGGAGCCACATGGAGCCACATGGAGCCACTTGGGGGCACATGGAGCCACATGGAGGCACATGGAGCCACATGGAGGCACGCGGAGCCACATGGAGACACATGGAGACACACGGAGCCACGTGAAGGAGGGGCAGCGTGAGTCCACAGAAGCAGCTGCCTTGGGGCTTGGCGCAGGCTCGATCCAGGCCCTCAGAGACCCATCTCAAGCATAGGAGAGATGCCGCCGGGCTGGCCCTCAGCCACTCCTCCCGCAGGACGGGGATGGAGAGCTGCCCACCCAGAGGGCGGACGGCAGAGCCCACGTCCGCCACATCTGAGCGCCGTGCTGGAGAGGCAGCAACCGGTTCAGAATCAGTCCAGCAGCTTCTCAAGGAGATCTGGGGGAGAAGAGCCCCAATGTCCGGATGGACATCCAGGGTTTGGAACCCTTACCTCCGAGGGGAGACCCCCTGCCCTGCGTAAGGTCAGATTCAAGAACCACAGCGCGCTCCCTCACAGACTGATTATGGGTTGCCCCTGCTAGCGCCTGCGGTCAGCGAGCTGCCCCGGCGGGAAGGCCCCTGCCCACCGGCTCTCCCTCCCACCCAAAAGGGCTCCAATCCAGCCGCTCTGCCCTGTCTCCCGGTGACTCCTTTCCTTGCTGCGAGGTAGCAAGATGTACAGGAAGTCAACTGTTCCCTAATCAATGAGGATCGGCCTGGCCCCGGAGGACAGCGACAGGACCCCAGTGCTCCCGAGTCCCCGCTCCACCCCAGCGGGCACACGCGGGGGCCACAGCCCGGCCACACAGGAAGGAGGCCTCCTGCGGTGTCCTTGTCGCAGTTCCAAAGATCCATGGCTTTTCCTGACCCAACACAATGTCATTCAGATCTTTCTCATGTTTCTTTTCTTAACCCTTCACTGTACAGCACACCACACACTCCACACAGTTCATCACACACCCCGCACAACCCAACACACACCACACGACCCACCTCACACCACACACCACACACCTCACACCACATACAACACACCACACACCACACACCACACACCACACACGACCCACCACACACCACACACCACACACGACCCACCACACACCACACACGACCCACCACACACGACCCACCACACACGACCCACCACACACGACACACCACACACGACCCACCACACACGACCCACCACACACCACACACAACACACCACACACCACACACCTCACACCACACACCACACACC